CTTCTGCTATTTGGCAACTCTTCCCCATGAGACTGAGTTTGAGAATAACTTCACTGTTCTGTTTCACTGAAATTCTCAGATAACTGGCAGACAGCAACTGCTTGTTTTCTGAAGCTGTGATGCAGAAAAATGTGTTGGAAATAATTCTTGCCTTTTTTTTTTTTAAAAGGAAATCCTTAGCCATTCTTTTGCTGGAATATTACTAGACACAAAATGAATTGTTGAGGTTGATACAAGGGAAGAGGGCGTAAAGACTGTGAAGTACTGGCAGTGATATTATATAAAGGGAGACACAAATACTCTTATTTTGTTGTCAGCTTTGTGTATATTGAAGCTTTCTGTTTGTGTTTTGCTATAAACATGACTTTTTCCCTTTTAGCATGTGCTCAAGGGAGGGAGTGCTGGGTGCTTCAACAGCAGAGGGTTTTCCACTTAGCACTGGAGTGTGGAGCTGTGAAAAGCTCTGGGACTGGGTGTTGCAAAGGTGAATAATGTATCTTTAGCCTTCATATGTGCTGGATGTCATGAAAGCTGTAGACTTGCAGTGCTTCCAAGGGAATCTCTCCTGCTCCCTGCTGTTTTCAGTGTTGCTGATACAAGTGCTTCTGTGGCTTTGCAGTGGGCTGGAGAGTGAGGAATGTGGTTTTAAAACTGAACTTAAAGCATAAATCTAGTTTTGTTTCCCCTTCATGTGAACTAGGCAGAGAAGTAGTGGGAACGAATTAAAAAATGAAAGGTGAGATTGCTGCTTTTGGCAGCAGTGTGGGACCACACTGGTTCAGGGAAGGTGAAAACTGAATTTTGCCATGTGTGGAGTATGTTCTACAGGATTCTGCCAAATATGGGATCAGAATGTACTTACAAGGGAAGATTTACTCAAGTCTGACTTTGCTTCTGCAGCTTTATTGTCTAGTGAGCAGAGATGTGCTGTTTGACTCACTAAAACTATGGAAACAACTGAACTGCAGCATCTCATCTGTTTATAGCCAAGTCTGTCATTTGGGATGGTTTTTATCCAAAAATGACAAGGTGTGCTGTAGATCTGTTAGTATTAGACAAGGAAAGCAAAACAAAATTAATTTTTTTGTGTGGGGGAAATATTACCAGTGAAAATCAGGAGTTGTTCAGTTTTAGTCTTGAGGTAGTTTGTTTGCATTGATATGCAGGAGTATTTAAGTTTATGATGGCTTCCATTTTGACAGCATTGTAAAAAAAAAAAATTAGCTACATGCAGCACCTTCAATGTAAGCCAATAAATACCTTAATTCTAAGGATGACTTCCATGAGTTGAAGTCAAACTTTCCGAGGTGCAGGTCAAGATTTGGAGCTGTTGTACCAAGTAACAGAACTGTCATTTACTTCTTAACGCTGTCTAGGCTGGATTTTTTAAAAAAACAAAGCCAAAATAAACATAAACCAAAAAAGCTTGTGTAACAAGCCTTCTGACAAATAGTTCAAAGCTTGTTGCTAATCTCTGAAGCAGACAAGTCCTTGTAGTAGTACAAGTAGTACAAGACTTGTAGAAAGTAGGAGCTTGCCACAGTGGACTGTGGGAGAGAGCATGTGTGGTCTTGCTCTCCAGACAGCCCTGAATCCAGGAGGAGGAGAGGCTTTCATTACACATCCCAGCCATGGGAAAAGCTTAATTGGAGTTTGCAGCTCATTGTATACCAAACTCTTCAAGTGTTTGATGTAAATCTGTAGGAAACTGGCTTTGGTAATTATGGTGCCCATAGCCCATGCCAGCACCACTCCCTTATTTGCAAGGAATAGTGCTATCAACTGAGATAATTATCCCAGGAGGTTTCATGATGCAGCTTGTCCCAGTGCTGCTGTCACTGAGAAGCATTTGGGAAAGTACAGGACTGTTCCTTCCATGTGTGTTGGTCTGATGAACATCTGGAGAACTTCCAAAGAGCCCCACAGATCCATGTGTGAACAGGGTGCTCTCAGAAATGATTGTTCTGTCACTGTGAAATTGCGTTTTTCCTAGTTTGTTTATTAGTTGGAAACAACATTTGTTCCAGGGGTTTTGGTGGGTGAAGGAGAGTTCCAGCTGCAGGTTCTTTTGGTAGTACTGGCCTTCTTGTGAAGCAAAAATTGTGTGCTCATATGCTGATCCCCAAGCTGATCCTGGAGCTATGGGAGGAGTGCAAAGGAGAAGGGAAATGGCTCCTGCTTGTGGAATGGCTTTGTGAGAGGAGGTGTTTGGTGATGAGGAATTCGTGTCCCCAGTCCTTGTCCCCTCTCCACACCTGATTCCATCCTGTTGCTGCTCAGAGGGAGGCACTTGGTGCTCACCCAGGCTCTGCTCAGTGGAAGAGAGGAGAGCGATGCAGAGGAGAGGGCAGGGCAGGTTTTGTTGTAGTTCTTCATGCCTGTGCTTAGAAAAGCTGACTCAGCAAGGTGTGGGCAGCTATTCCTCCTCCAGGGTGCTGAATCCAGCTGTGTCCTGTGGGCCAGCTCCTGTTGGGAAGGAAGGCAGGGACTGGCAAGGCTGTGGAGCTGCTCAGGAGCAGGGCATGGAGGGTGGGAGGGAGCTGCTGTGGCTGGCAGGATCCCAGGGCACCACTGCCAGGCCACTGGGCATGGAGCTTGTTCAGGGCTGGGAAGCAAAGGTGTGGCTGCAGAGCCATGGGCAGGGTTAGTTTGTAGGGAATAACTTGAGAGGCTTGGTCTAGGAAAAATGAAGATATCTGCTGGTTGTGGAAAGAGGCGACTTCTCACACCCTCCTTTTTTTCCTTCTTTTAAAACGTGTATGTGTCCCTAGGAATTGTCCTGGCTCTTTCTACCACCTTTGGATCAAAATCAAACTTGAAGGTCTATAATTGAAGCAGAACAAATCATAAAACTATCACTTAATTCCTCCTGCCTTTTGTAGAGTGGAAGTGTTGAAATGGGCATAAGGAAAACCTTCCTGAGAAATTATCAGTGCTAATCAGGGTGAATGAGTTCAGTGTTCACTTTGCTTGTATTTCCTTCCTATTTGAAGACTCCAAGAGGTCTTTTAACCTTGAGCTTCTTTATTTATGTATTTCAGAAGTAATTAAACCCCACAGAGACCTGCAATGAAATACAGTAGACTTCCCCAGTTAAAATTGTGTTCTGAAAATGAGGGAAAACCCCACTTGCATGGTTTTAACTTCCAGTGGAACTGCTTTAATTCAGTACTGTTTAGCAGTTACACAAGTATAAGAAAAATCCATAATTAGAGGATATAAAGCTAGCAATGGTAATCTATAGCAGTTATATATTATTTCTAAGGGAATTGTTACTTTTTTAGGTTTCCAGATAAAAATACTTGTAGAAAGAATGTTGTCTTAACAAGTTAAAACTTGCTGGGATATTCCTGATGATAATGTCTTTGAAAGAAGGCATGTGCATATAGCCAGGGAGATTCAAGTGCAGAATCAAATAACTCCTATTTGAAGCTGGTATTTAAGCTGCCTGTGGAATATTTTGATGTATCTTTCTAGAGATTGGCCTCGTGATGAGGATCCACAGGTTGCGCTTCTCTGGAGTAGAGTTTATAACAAACTTCCAAGGTGCAAGGAGGCCTGGCATGAAACAGTAGTGATTTACTCCTGTTGGTTTTGTGTGTGTTAGGGAATCTCCTTTAATATTCCAGAAAGACCCAGTAGTCTTCCCTATGAAAATGGGAGAGGACAGATTAAGCTGGAAGTCTCTCAACTCTCTGTGGCTTTAGCATCATGTATTAAATGTGCACTTTTTTTAATATCTGGGTTTTAAGTTCTAGAGCAGTGAGATTTAAGATAATTTTTATCTTAAATCCATTCTGGCTTGTGCTCAGTCATTCAGCAGTCCTGCCTTTGGGATTCCTGGAAGGGTAGGAGGCTCTCCACGTGCCTTCTCCTGTTACACAGATAGTTACATACACAGGATGTAATGATAAAAAAATATTCTGGGTTAGTGCATTGCTGCCTCTTTCCTTTTTATATTCTTTTCCTGCCTGCAGTGTTACCCTGTAATCATAAAGACTGTAGGAGAGGGAAACATGAGATCAGTGTAGAGCATACCTCACCTGTAAGGTAGAAGAGATTTATCAGTGGAATAACATCTGTAGTTTCTTGGGCAAAAGTCTGAGATCTCTGAGGATCAGACATGGAAGATTCAGTAAAGCCCTGAAAGCTCTTCCAGCTGAGAGTTGGCAGGAATAGTGGTGGAAAGCCTCTACCTGACCCAAATCTTGGGGGTGAGGTGATGGTGAATTCCTTGCTTGTGCACTGCAGAGAAATTTCCAATTGATCCTTTCCCTGGGGAAGGAGCTCTGTCCCCTTGAGGCTTCAGACTTCTCTGAATAATTAATCCATTGGGTCTGTGTCCTCAGGGAGAGATGAAAGAACTGTCAAGGGCTCCTGTGTTACACCTGATAAAGAAAGTCATTAGTGAGGCTTTAGATAGTCACATAAATGAAAAACACTTGCATTCTCTTTCCTTAATAATGAATAGATGAAGCCTTTAGGATTAAAGTTTTGTAAAAAATGGGGGGGAGACACAACTAGAAAAACATTGTGTGAGTAAAATTCCTTTCTCATAATTTTGCTTGCCCCTAAATTGCTTTGGTTTTCCATGCTGCCTCTCTTCTTCCTCCAATCCTGCATGAGGTGTGGGCAGACAGGTGGTAGAGTAAAAACATTTTAGAACTCTGCACGTTCTGAAATGAAAGTGAAGATGTAGAATTTGTTCTTCTGCATTCCTTTGATTTTAAGAGGCGAAGAAGTGTCTCTGTGGCTGAAAAACAAAGTATTTCATTTGTAGTTAATTACCTTTTAAATGAGAATAAAATTTCAACCATTGGTAGGTAAAGAATGTTTGAATGCTCAACTCAGGAAGCAAAACTTAGCCTGATTGTTACTTTTTTTTGTTTTGCCCCATGCATTTGATGATACCAGAATATTGTGGCCAGATCACCTCTCTCTCCTTTGCTGCTTGCCAAATGGGTGGTGTTTTATGCTAAGCTTTATTTCTTTATTTCCAGGTACAATGGATCCCTCCCTAATGGTGACAGGGGGCGCAGGAAAAGCAGATTTGCCCTTTATAAACGATCTAGAGCAAGTGGAGTTAAACCCAGCACTGTCCATGTCATCTCTACTCCTCAAACATCTAAGGTATGTGACACTGGGAAATCCTGGGTTTTGATGATCCTGAGTGGAGAGCAGCTGCTGATTTACCTTGCTTGTAGGATACTTTTGTTTAATGAAGAGGCTGCAGTGCATTTGCTTTCTGAGGTATATAGCTTTAATCCAGTTACCTGTTTAAAATAGTCTGTAAGCTCAGGTGTGAGATAATCTGACCTTCCTGCCCCTGTTCAGAAGGCTGGCTGTCAGTGCTGACTGTTTTATCTGAGCCATAAAGTACATGGGATAAAAACACAAAAAGTATTTCAGTTTCTTTCTCACTGGAGTGATACTTCTTTCCTCTTTGGGAACATAACTGACATGCTATAAAAAATGTTCTGATCCCTTTGGGCCTTTCATTTTTCTTGCTAATAATGGTACTGTACAAGTTTTTACCTGAAGTTTAGTGTGGGTGAAAGAGGAAAAGCAGCAAAGTTAATATATTAACATAGTAACATATTAATGTGTAGAAGTGTCCAGGTCAGAATTCTGGTGGTGGAATATATTTCAGGCTACAAAAGCTATTCCTATCTCTCTTCTCAAAGCCTTTTTCTTGAAGCAAGAAGTGAGTAGAGTTCATGCTGAACTGGAGGGGGAGTTCTGTGGTGGCATTCACACAAGAGGATGGTTTGTATGAATTGTACCTCACTGAAATATCTCTTGGGTCAGAGAGAGAGGGAACCTACACCATGCTCAGAAATGTGTTGTCTGACTTGGACCAAGAGAAGAATGTTGTTTAATACATAGTATGGGATTGTTTTATTTTCTGATACATGGTATATGCCTGAATTTATCAAAATACACAATATCAGAGCTTGTTGTCTTTGAACACAGTGTAGGGCTTGCCTGCTGCAGATAAATGTGGAGTCTTTTGGATTAAAAGTTACAGGAAATATTTTACAGTGTTCTTGTTATCAAAATGAAAGCTTTTGTGAGTTAAATCTTCCTGATGAAATCAACCTTCAGAATAGAGCTGTAGTATGTGTTAGTAATTCTGGTTTGTTGCTTAAAATGTAACAAGTGAGGAAAAAAAAATGTGTTTTACATAGTGGATGAAAATAAATTTATCAAAATACACAATATCAGAGCTTGTTGTCTTTGAACACAGTGTAGGGCTTGCCTGCTGCAGATAAATGTGGAGTCTTTTGGATTAAAAGTTACAGGAAATATTTTACAGTGTTCTTGTTATCAAAATGAAAGCTTTTGTGAGTTAAATCTTCCTGATGAAATCAACCTTCAGAATAGAGCTGTAGTATGTGTTAGTAATTCTGGTTTGTTGCTTAAAATGTAACAAGTGGGGAAAAATAATGTGTTTTACATAGTGGATGAAAATGTACACATGTTCTCACTGGATGATCTTAAGCATTTGGACTGCAGGTAGTATTTCAGCACTTGAGTTGCAAAATATTTAAACACCTGGCAGACACCACAAGGAATCTGGTTAATGTTCATCTGTGGTGTTATTGTAGTGCAGATAAAATATGTGTGCTGTACAAATTAGTGCCCTTATAAAGACAGCAGAGGATCTGGGACATTAAAGCCTTTCCTCTGAGCATTTGGATTCGGGTAGATGTGTCAAGTTGAATGTATTTTGCACTTTCTCTGAACCCTTAGAAAAGAGCTTTTGTGTATTTGTGCTGCTGTCTGGGGCAGGGCTGGTGGATGTGTGCCAGAACAGTGGTGCAGTGGCTCTCAGTGAGTGCTCTTCCCATGCACAGAAAGGACACTTAGATTTTAAAGATGCTGTCATCAGCTTTTCTCTCATCTTAGGCACCAGAGCCTGAATTGTTTTACTGAGAATTGTTTCTGCATGTCACTTGTGTAAATGCTTGAAGAAACATAGCCTAATAAAGAGTGAGCTGCTTAGTTCTTGGAAAATAATGGGCAACTTGACCTCAGAAGTTGAGTTGTGCTCTCAGTCTTTCAGAATTGTATTAAAGGAAGATAAACCAGCAGAAACTTGTGCTGCATAGGATGTTAACAAGTTTCCTGCCTTTGCATCATTCATTTTAACTTTGCAGGTAGCAATTTTCTGGTTTTTTTCTGCTTGTCTGTCACTGTAAACTGAATCTGAGTAAAAAGACAAGTGTAGGGCACTGATGATTTCTGAGTGGTTGATTTAGCAGAGGAGGGAGAAGCCCTGACTGCCTCCATTGGTTTTGTTTGTGACCAACAGAGACTTGAATAAGGTGCGTGGCTGGTTTTGTGCTGATTGCATTAATGCAGCAGCTCAAGAACTGTAGCTGTCACCAATTTTAAGTTCGTGTGTCAGCCTGAACACTGCAATAGATGGGAAGAGGATGCTTGTCATGTTCCATTGTCCCTGCTGTGCAGGTGTCAAGGACAGCTGGAGTAGCAATGGCTTCAGTAGTAAATTTAGCTGAGCTAATTGCTTGTGAATCACTGCCTTTTGTTTTTTTCCACTGAGCACTTGTTTTTTGCCACTCTGCCTTCTGAGGTGCTGAAGAAAATTCAGAAATATTTGGCCTTCTGAGGGTATGCGTATATTTAGGGGAAAAGCAGTGCATAGGGTATTAAGTCTCAAGTTTTTTCAGAGTTGTTGTTATTGTTAAAATGCGAAGGAATCTCTTCAACATCATGCACTGGACTTTAAAACCTATTTTATTAACTCTGTGCTTAGGCACCATTCAGTAAATTTTGGGGTGTCCCCAATTTGGTTTTTTTCCAGCATTGTCAAAATTGTTTTTACTGTAAGAAAGAGCTTAAAATTATTCTGCTGTTCTAAGCTTGTCTGTGTGGATATGTCTGGGGTAGGGGTTTGGGGAATGGGGGACTTTGAGTCTTCATTAACTGAGTATGGATCTTACGATTTTAATAATCCCCTTTGTTGTTTCTTTCAAAATCATCTCCATCACAGGAAAGGCCGTTCCTTGCCTCTTGACCTGGGTATCATGATGAAGAGGAAGGTTTATCAGTCATAACAACAGAATTTGTGAAAACCTTCCTCTGACTACCAAACTCACAGGTGTAAATTTGCTGTTGGCTCCTCATAACATAGTTAGGGTTGGTGATTTTTATTTTCAAGCTATTGGAGCTGTTCAACCAAGTCAGAAGTCAACTATAATGTTTATTTCATTTAGTTGAGTTGTGTTAACTGTTGTTTTCATGTACAATATTTAGTGCTGTGAAACTCCAGTCAATGTCTGTTGGTGTCTGAAATGATTACAGGGTTTACTTGGGTAGAAATATTCCAGTAAGTGCTAAACTGCAGGTGAGAGTGGGATAAAAGGTTGTCTTTAGAATAATCACCTGGAAATGATGGGCTGCTGAACTGGACTTCACTGGGTTTTGGGAGGAATAGGGGAGGCTTTCATAAGGGTTTTTTATATTTTGAGGAATTGACATTTTTTTTTGGTTGGAGATATTTGAGTCTGACAGGGAAAGAGGTGTCTGACTGAAAATGAAACTGGCTTAATACCACTGTGTAATAATATTTGAGGACAGTATGTTTTTCTTGCAGATCTTAAGCAGGTCAGTAATATGCTGTGGAAATAAAACTGTATAATCCCAATTGCTGCAAAGTGTGGATGTTCCTGTTCCAGTCCACATCCAGTCTCTCGATTCAGTGCATCACTAACTTAACGCTTTGCCCTGTACAAGCACAGGTGAATCTTCACTCCTCATTGCTCCTCTTCATGACCATCCCTGGCTTCTTGCTGGATGTTTTTAGTTGGGATTCTTTTTGTGGAACAGCGGGAGAGAACTGCCCCAGTCCCCTATGAGGGAGTGCTGGCAGCTGGCACTAACACAGAGCTCACTGCTGTTACTGGAAACTCTGATCTTGGAATCCCCCATGACTTTGGCTCTGTGAGCATTTGGATTTCTCTGTCGACTTCTGATGTTTCAGAATTATTTCCATGGACGTGAAGTTTAAAGAGATGAAGAAGGGGCTTCATGTGCATATGAACTACTTAAAGTATGGCATTAGGAAGCAGGAATTGTTGCCAGTAGCCCTCCAGGATTCCCCAGGATTACTCTGGAAATGTGACTGAATTTCCTTGTTACAGCGTGGATGGTAATTGAGACTCCAAAGTATTGAGTCAGTGAGCAAGAGAATATAACTGCTGAGCATTGGAAGGACTCCTTTTTAACAAGGAAATGTTGGGCTTTCTTGAGTGATTTCATGTGTAATACTGACTCCAGAGAAGATTCCAAATGCCTTTTGAATTGCTGAAGACTTGAAAAACCCCACCTTTAATACCTTTTTATGGCGGTGTGTCTTGGTATTTGTTATGTCTGTCTTTCTTAGGATCAAAGATTTCCTTTGGTAACCTGTGGTAGATAAAGGCAACCTGTTTTCTCCCCTATGAAATTACTATTTCAAGCTGACTGAGGAAGATCTCTCTTGACTTCCAAGTCCAATTACCTGCCGGGTTGGCTTCTGCTTTGTGCTATCACAACAGCAGCTTGGATAGTCACTGGCTGGGTTCCTGCAGCTCTCATCAAGTTTCCTGCTGCTGCTGGAGAAGAACAAAACACAGCCATACGAATAATTATTAGGTCGGGGAGAGAGCTGCAATTTGTGCTTTGAGTGACGAGAGAAAATGCAAGTATAGGATCCTTGTGATTACTTATCTACTGTAGATATTGCATCTGCTTTGACGTACTTGGAATTGGGAGTAAAGAGGCCACAAATCCTCTTGGCACTGACAGCTTTTTGGTGTTCATGCTGAATGAGAGCTATAGAGCTCAGCTGCTGTCAGGAGGATGCTCTGTCTGTCAGTGGCTTCTCTCTTTCCTGTTGGGCTTATTTATGGTCTAATCAGTTCATGGAGCACTAATTTGTTCTGAAGTAACTTAATCGCATAGGTGTCTCAAGAGCCCTGGCTTGTGCAGAAGCAGCTTTTTCTTGGCTCATCAGACTGAGTCTGCTTGAATAATGGTTTCCTTGGTGTAATGTCCTTTTCTTCTATTAAATGAGCATCACCTTAACATGCGAACTCCCTACCCCTGTGCCCTTGCAAATAACAGGGAATGGTTAGGTAGGAGAAGATAGTTACACCAATTTCACTGTTAGGGCTGAATAAATAACAACCCTTACTTGGTTTGAAACCCTCCCTCCTGAGCTTTTGGGTCCATGTCAAAGGTTTTGGAAAATCATTTTATAGTGTTTTCTAACAAAATCCAGATGTTTAGTGAAGGAAGGGGAATTAAAAATTGCTGAGGTCTACAACAATTATTTTCTTATGACTTAATGTTGCTTTTTGTTTTCATGCTCTCCCTTCAGAGGATAAAAAAAAGATCAAAAAATGCTTTCCTTGTAAACTCTCTTTAAACTACATCTGCTCTAAATCAATATTTTAGAGCAGATTTTACTTGAATGTGTTGCCCTTTGAAAGCAGAAGAAGATACAGTGATACACACAGGGCTGGTGTCAAGAAACTGAAGAACATTTCATTTCCCCATACGCTTCCTTGGCTTCCTGCAGGGAGCCAGGCTGTGGAAGCACTGCTGTGCAGGATCTGTCACTTTGCAGCTTCCTTGGCCATGTCAGAAATAACCTGGAGGGTTTGGCATTGTGAGAATGCAGAACCAGGAAAAGGAGAGGCTGCATCTCAGCTGAGGTTTAAATGCTGTAGTGTAAGGTCAGACGCTGCAAATCCTGCTGCCCATCACAGAATGTCCTGGATTTCTTTGTGCCACGGGAAAAGTGAGGAGTAGGATTTGTCCTGGGGATGGCAGAGCCACTTGTTTCACTGGAAGATGAAAACTTCACAGCTTGAGCTTAATGTAGCATGACTTGTTTAAAACTGTCTTGTTCCAGTTTGACTGGTTCCTGCATGCTTCCCCACTGTTCCCCAGAATTTAGAGTGGAAATTTTGGACCACCTGCTGTAGTGGTGAAGCTCTGTCCTGTTTCATATTGATTCTGTTTGGACTGTCAATTGCCTGGAATGGACCTGGTCTTGGAATTGTGTGTCTCCTGAGAGCTGAGCTTCCTAAAGGTCAGGAAAACTCTGCAGTCTGGTGTGGATCAAATGAAGCTGGATGGCCTGAGCATACATAGTATTTCTGCCTGTGTGCTGGTACTGCCTGTGGAACTTGTTGGGGATAACTCACTCTGCAAGCTGGCAGTACTGAGGGAGATTCTCTTTGGAGCATTAAAGTGGTGGGGATCTGCTGTGATGTTCCAGGGGTTGGGTGGGCTGTGCTGGAGCACAGCTGGGAGCAGCCTGGTGACTGCAGGGCCTGGTATACAAACTGTTAGAGCCTGGCACTGTCAGCATCTGTAATACAGGAATTCCTCTTCTCTGTAAAGGTTGTTTCATGCTCAAAAGTAAGTGCCATGACAAGGGGAACATGGCAGCTGATGGATATGCTTTTCCTGTTATCTGAAACAAAATTGTCTTAAATGGATGGAGTATTGTGTTTTGGAAAAGTCAGGTACTGTGTACTCAGAGTATGGAATTGCTCTCCTGGAACAGGGAGTTGGAACTGCATCAAAGAGGAGATGAGACTTCTCTGCTCCAGGGCTTTGTTGAGAGGGGCAATTATTTTGAAAACACAGAAAGCAATTGAAGCATCACGGGCCAACAGTAACTTTCCAAAGAAACAAACAGCTGCTACTCCTGTTTTACAAATTAGAAAATACTTGTTTTCCAGAGTGCTTAGAGATTTTGTTGATGGAAAGAAGAAAATCTAAATATTTCTCTTTTTGGGAGTCTCTTATGACTCCATCTGTAAAATGAGTAATGTTATCTGTTTGCCAAGAGAAGAACTAAGAGGGGTGACTCTCTTGTGGCATTCAAAGATTTCTCTTTCCACTCTGTAGGTCTCTTGTTTGAGACATGTTTATGCTTTCTTTTGGATGTAGATTTACTTTGTTTTGAGATCCTGCTGGTTTGTTCCTATTCAACACCAAAGACCTCACAAATATTTTAGGAGAAAGCAAGGGAGTACTTTATCCTGATAATCTCTTTAGAAGGGATGTATCCCCAGCAAAGTGCTTATGGTGATGCTTCATTGGCTGGATGCTCCAAGCCCTTCAGCTCTGCATGCAGAAATTCCCTGGCAGTCATAAAGCAATCCAGAACTCTTCAGCACTGTGGCTTTGCTTCTACAAGATCATTATCTTTTTTTTTTCTTTTTTTTTATCATCCCTGAGGTGTCCTTCCATGAAAACAAACGAGTCCAGCCACTGGACCTACATCAGAGCTTGTACTTAGGTGACCTCTGTGTCAGACTGAGTGTGTTCTGTACAGACTTGCCTTGAAATTCTGCATGTCTCTTGTCCACAGTGATTCTGCCAGTTCTTCAAGAAGTTCTGGACTCTGCAGATGCCTGCTGTGAGATAATGCTTGTGGTAATCTATACTTTGGGCTTCTAATTTCAGTACCAGCAGATGCCTATCACTTTGACTTGAGGAAGCTCATTAAAGGCCCAGCACTCTCAGCTTGCTCTGTTCAGTCTTCCCCCGGCTCTGAGGGATCTCCCTTCCACTGAGTTCACCACAGCCAGGGAATGATGGATGCTTTCTTCTCTGCTTTTTGGTACCAGGGAGGGGGGGTATCACTCTCTGGCCACCTGAAAAACTCTGGACTTGGTGCACCAAGCTCAGGATTGCACCATTTCCTGAGACTCACTCTGGGGACTGTGGCCTGACAACATAGCCAGTGTCTGAACAGGGATCTGTCTCAAACTGGGGTCATACTGAATTGTTGCACTCTCAGCCTGGGATGTTGACAACTACCACTTCTGTGGTCCCAGAGATTTTCCTGGTAACCTCTCATGTTTTGTAAGTTTAAGATACTGAGAGACACTTTTCTTTCTCTTTTGCCCTAACCCTAAGGATAGGAAAAGGGGAAGCAAGTACAGGTTTGATTTCAATGTATTTAGTTTTCTTTCATGAAGCTCATGTGGCCAAAGAAGCTGTTTCCAGGGCCTGTAGCTGCACAATTTTTTTTTTCCTCCCAGACTTCACAACTGATCAAAGGCTTAGGTGACACAACACACCCAATTTGCAGCTTGGATAACTCTTGTGTCTAAAACAATTCTGTCAAGCATTGGTCAGGGGGGTTCTTGAGCAGGGGAATCTGAAAAGAATATGGAACTTCCCTGGTGAGCTAAACCACATTTTATACTTGCACTACAGCAATGCAAATTTCTGGGTTTTATTGCTAACCTCAAATCCCAGAGAAGTTTAACAGAGGAGATGCTTTGTTTTGAAGTATCAGATGACCTCTGAAAATCAGGGCTGTGTGGGACCAGAGCATACACATTTACACCCTGGTGACCAGGGAATTTCTGAACCTGTAGCAGCTTGTTCTCCAGCTCTTTGGGAAATTCAGTGGAAGCTGTCCTTTGGGTAACAAGTTAGAGCCTCTGAGGATAAGAGCTTCTGTTCCCTTCCCCAGACAATGCTCTTCCTAACAGTGCTGTTGCTGTTTCTTTCAGCTTCATTTCAGCTGCATGAGTCCAGAATTCCAGAAGAGGCAATTAAAGAGATCAGATGTTACAGAGAAGGTGAGGGAGAGGTGCTTTTTGTGCTTGAGGTTTTTAAAGAGTTTGTGAGTATTACTAAAGCAGAATTTCTTCTGTACTTTATAAATGCAGATAAGATTCTTTGAATGATCAAGAAACCCTTCAGTGGTTATGGGCTGATTTCTGTAGTTTGCACCTATGTGGCCCTGAACTTTAAATATACAGCCCCACCTAGTTTTGAAATTTCTACAAAAATGAGGAAATGTTGAATAGGACAGTGAGAGAAAATGCACAAAAGCTGGAAGGGGGCCTGAAAAAAATTTTGGGGAGTCTTTGTGGATTACTTTTGACTTGTAGCCTTCCTATAATGGCATTTACCATTATAAACGTTGGACAAGAGGCTACAGTGTAAAACATGCAGAAGTTTTTCCTCCTCCCTGTTATATTTACATTAGCATTTGGTTTTCCACACCTCTGTCTCTTCTTCAGCCCACCAAAGAATCTTCCAGTGCTGAAGGTCAGGAATGAGGCAGTGCCTTGGTGGTCCAGCTGGGAGGCAGGGAGGACAAAGCTGACCTTGCTTCTGCACAGGCAGCTGCTCCCAGATTGTTCCCAAAGAAAAGCTGGCCTTGGAAAGCTGGATTGTGAAACTTGTAAAAGCACATAAAGCGTTCTCCCTAACTCATGCCTCCTCCTCCTCCAAGCTTTCTCAAGTCTTTGTTTGGTGTTTTGTCACAAAAATTGACTCTGTTGCTACTTGAGTATAATAAATAAACTGCAGAAGTCAAAACAAAATGTTTGCAATTTTGTTCGAGAGACAACCCATGCTGAATGTCTTAAAATATCCCTATGTTATGATCTTGCCTGTTAACTGGAAACACTCTAACTCTCATTTCCTTGGTTAAAAATACCGAGAGACAACATTAAATAACCAAGGTATCTTTGCACTGTAGTAGCAAATACTGCTGGGGTTGAAAGTATCACTGTGCCATTATGTGATGCATATAAAAACAAGGCTCTTTCTGAGGAACCTTTTTTTCATCTCCAGATGAAGATGTACTTGCTAAATTTAGAGGTAAGGCTCTGATTTTTCTCTGACTGCTGAGAAATTCTGTGTAGCAATTCTCTGATTAAAATTGAACCATAATGCTAAATAAAAATCTGTGTGTGCATTCCAAATACAGCATGACAAGGGGGAACACCATCGTACAGTGTGGCTCTATGAATGCACTGAGGTTTTTCCAGGCTGAAGTAGTAACTGGTTTTTACTTGGTGGCAGTGAGTTACCTCATTCAGCCTTAAAAACATCAAACCACTTTGAAACAGAAGTGTGGAGGCACCTTCCTCAATCAAAGGCTGTGATGGCTTCAAACACATCTGTGAAAAGGCGAAGATTTTGAAATGTAGCAACTGATGCTTCTGCTTCAGGTTGGATTGGGGCTGTGCAAAGGCTGAGAGGTGACAGTTGCCTCCACAGGTGGATGTTGGAGTTTCCCTGGAGCTGTAATCCATTCTGTTCAGTGTTTACCAGGCAGTGTTTGGTGGTGTGGAGCAAGAATGTGCTGGTGGTGTGGAGCAAGAATGTGAATTGGATGATTTCTGATACCCAAAGAGTCTTGCTCTCAGCTCAAGGGTAACAGTCCTGCCTAGATTTATTCTGAATAAGGAACTTTGCACTAGGTAAAACCCCACAACAACAATGCTCAGGGTCCAGCAGTGGAGACCATCCTTCCCTGTGGCAGCCTAGAGGAGAAAGCTTGTGGAAAAAGCAGTGTCAGGGTCATGGAGGCTGAAGCTGGAGCCTGTGTTGGAACATTTTCTCTGTGGGAAGATGCTGAAGGCTTGGCTGGGCAGGTTTGGGCTCTGCAGGCTCAGAGGGGCTCAGCTGAGCAGCTCATGGATTTGTCAAGGCTGCAGTGACTCAGCTGTGTCCAGAAGGCCATACCAATTTTGGTAGCTTAGTTGCTGATACAAGCCTGGCTGAAGGTCACTCCAGAAGGAACTGTAGCCAGTTTGTGTACATGGGATGTTTGACAGCTTGGGAGCCTCATTGTCCTTCAGTCATTTTTCTGCCAAAACCTTGAGTGTCTGCAGAGTCATTTTCTGAACTCCTGCCAAGATTTGGGTACTCTTTGTTTTGAAGTCAAGGAAATTGTCTTCAAGGAAATGTCATATCCAGAATCATTTGTTAATTGTACATAAATGGTGCATAGGCTGTCTTTTAGCAGTACTTTCCCAGCTTTCACTTGCCAGTTTGTGAAATGTGTTGTTAGCACCAGTAGAAGTTCATAAATCACAGATAGAATCTGTATCTAATCAGCCTGTCCAGTGTTCCAGGATTATCTCAGTCTTGTGTTTCTCAGGCTTGATGAACAGGAAGGAGAGAGCACTTAGGACACTTGTTACTGGTACATGATGTCTCTTCTTTATCACTTATATAACTTTTTTTCCTGTTGTGTATCAATGTGTATTTGAAGAACAGTGACGATAAAAAGTAGATTTTCTTTGAAACAAAAATCCTCCTCATTCAAATATTATGTATTCACAGTCTCCAGACTGGTAAAAGCTTGCACATTTATTTGCCATGATGGTTTGCTGTTTATGTGCTTTCTTTATTTTGTTTTTCTTTTTTTGTTTATGTTTGGATCTAGATACCATGTTCCTCTTATTATTGAAATAGATATGCAGTATTGAAGAAGACTTACAAACTATTGGGAGGGAGAATGTAATTTACAATTATAATTCTTTCCCATGAAGCATTCACTACTTTTAAATCTATTTATTTAGTGTCTGCTAATTGTAGGCAGTATGATGATGATTGAATGCTTTTTCATGCAGGCTTCTGGAGACTTGAAGTGGAATAAGATTCACCTTTGGAATTCACTGTGATAACTTTGTCAACAGCAAGAAATTGCATGCAAAGTGGAAAGGCCAAGAATGTGCTGAATGTTTTGGCATCATCAGTACTGTATTAATCTAATTTCTGATTGTGCCTTGCTGTACTAGTTCTCTATTAATAGTTTCTTATACCAAAAGTATGTTTTGCTCTACATTGGGGAAAACACCTTGCCTTGAAAATAGGAGTTGTGGTTCTATTCAAGTGAGTTTGGCAGAAACTAAGATTAATACCTGTCTGAGGCAGGTTGTGTCTCCTTGTCAAGTGGCAGATGGGTTGGTTGTCTGTGTAAACAGTGAGACTTGCTCTCTGATGTGGTGTTCTTGCTGCAAAATTGTTGGGCTGGGACTTAATTCCAACTTTACCAGGATTTTAAAGCATGAAAAATTGGGGCTGAAGGTGTTGTATTGAGCTCTTTGATAACTGACAGATGGAATCTGGTTGTGGAAGGATGTATAATATGAACTTTTTATGAGAGGATGACATTTAATGTGGAAAAAAACTGAGACAGAAGCCTGTGTTTCATCTTCTTCCCCTTATGCATCACTTTCTGTGCATCTTATAAATGCAGACACAATATAGAGTGTAAAGAAGAAATTAATTTCATTAATTGTTGTGTAAGCCTGGGTTAAAATCCTGCTTTTATTTTCCTTCCCATCAAACCTCCCCTCTCCTGTCTCCTGCCACTGACCTGTCCTGTGCTGCTCCTCTGCTCCTTTGTCCCTGGGAAGTGAGTCTAGACATTGGTTTTTGCTTTTTCTGGTTGGCCTATCAGTGGGATGCCTTTGAGCTTTTTAGGAAAACATTGCTGAACATTTTCTTTTTGGAAAGAAAAATGTTAAAACTGTACTCATGGGGCTTTAAAAGAGAATTTTCCTTCTCATTTTGCATTTAATTTATAAAACATGTATACACTGTGCTTAGCACTCACTACTGGTGTAGAGCCTTGCTCCTACTGGAATACACATAAAGTAAAAATAGGCTGGTGTGCTCAGGAATTGTGAGATTTGATATGTCCCAGTTTTTATTTGTAACAACACTTGCACTGTGCTAGTCTGTCACTACATGTTGGTAATATTTTGATTTTTATTTCCTTTCTCTCGAGCTGGCAAAAGGAGAACCTTTGTTTTTGCCATAGAGAGTTTCTTTGCTGGTCTCTGAACACAAATTGCAGCAGTGCACCAGCACAATGGTGGGGATGTATTGACAGGATATTCTATATACTATTATGATAAATAATAGTATATGGATTATACTAACAGTATATGGAATATACTAACATTGGATCCAGAAGAGATTTTTAGTAATCTAAAAAAAATGTAGAACTACAAATTCATCTCTTCATCATTTGTTTTGAATGCCCGTGTTCATGAAAGTTGTTCAGAGCCCTGATGGTTCTGGCTTAAATCCTAAAATCTTCACTGAGTCCTAGGATTGAATTTTCATGAATAAACAGATCTTAACTTTGGAAAGCAGGAAATGAGAGGATTTTGTAGCATTGCTGTTTGTTCACGTTTCTGTGAAGGGGAATCCTGGCCCAAGAGACATGATTCTGTAATTAGAATATTAGTTACACTAGATCACCTCTTTCAGCTTTACTGAAAATCAGTGCTTTTCATGCTTTGCTAAGTGAGATGCACAGAGACAAGCACTAAAAATTACATGTTACACTTCAAATTCTTCCTCTGTCTTGATATTTTCCTTGGTACTGAGGCCTTTTACTGCTGAAGGGAAAAATGTAGGATACATGCTGTTCTTTCATAGCTCTCATTTCCTCACAACTATTATTATTTTCCTTGGAAGCCAGTCTGAGCAGAAAGTGTCAGTCATGGATCTGTGTGTCTGGTGGCACAACACTGATGTGTCATCTCCTGGTGTCACAAAGAAAATGAATCTTTCCAGGTCAGGACAGAATTTCAGCTCATTTCTCCTGGAGTGTTTGCACTGGAGAAGCCTCATAGTAACAACTCGGCTTTTTTTCCCTCCAGAAGGAACGTGTGCCTTTTGTTCTTAAAACTCATTGTTCTTTTCTGAATGCTTTCCCCATAAGTGCCGTGTGGGTTGTTGTGTTTGTTTTTCGCTAAAACGAAAAATCTTGAATTAATTTGTGAAATGGTGTTTGAACTTCCTAACAGAAGTTAGTCAG